AGGGGGGGAGAATTGGTTGAAGAGGGGGGGGCGAAGAAGACTGGTATTAAACCCAACATACATTGACAGATACGGACCAAACGTTCGCAGAGCGGGCGTATATGAGATGAACGACCTGCTCGGGGGGTGAGGGGGGGGGGGGAGGAGGCAGAGAGTAGGGAGGTGCCTGACTGGGGATGGAACGAAGGAGAGGTTGGCCGAGTTGGAGAGCATGCCTGGGAGGCGGGTTTTCTGCTAGGTCAGGTGGCCGGCGATGGCGAGCACAGCAATGCGGCCGATACAAAACAGGAGGAGAATGAGAAAGAGCGTGTTTTAGTGTACGAATCGTTTTTTTTGTTGTTCCCGATTTCGCCCCGACACACCTTGGCAGCCACGGCCGGTGTGGCCACGAAAGAGGACACCGACCCCGCGTTGAATCCGAGCCACCCCCACCAGAGCATGAACGTCCCTAACGTCTGCGGAGGGGAGGGGAGGGGAAGCGCAAGGAGGATGGGGCCAGAACAAAATACGCGAAACGCGTTGCGGGGGGGGGGGGGGGGGGGGAATAACAACCGACCCCCCCCCGCCCCGTTGAAGGAAGAAAATGGACAAACCCACCCCAAAAAATTTTTCCACCCAAATTAAAACCAAAAACCCCCAAAATCGACCCAATTTAATTTTCAAACAAATGCTGGCCACCCGGCCGAAAACCACCCATTTCCTGGGTTTCCAAAAACCCCACCCCTTATGGTCAACTCCTTCCAGTGAATTAAAAGGAAAATCCCCAAAACAGCACATCTTTCCCCTTGGGTCCCCCTGGAACCCAAAAAAAAACCCCAATCCCCTTGGTTTCCCCAAAAAATCCAAAGGATTTTTCCCTCTATTCCCCCAAAAACACAAAAAGCAAAATTTTAAAACCCCCCCAAAACCCCTCCAAAACCTGAAAATTCTAAACGAAACTTGGCCCACCCGGAACACTGCCGACCGCTGGGGCATGGTGTTCCCGGGGCCCCCCCCCTTTAACCCGCCCCCCCCAAGGCCCAAAAAGAAAAACCCCAAGAAGG